GTATCAACCAAACCACACACCTTGGTGTCATCGGCAAACTTGCTGAGGGTGCACTCAATCCCACTGTCAAATTCTTTACCTGGTTCATATGCTGAGAGAGAGAGAAAGCTTAGAGTTAATATGTGGATTGGCTTTTTGTTGTCTTTTAATAGCTTTCAACTCCAAGCTCTTTGTAGCTCCTCAGTCCTTTGGGCAGAGTATTTTTCATGAGACCTCCAGCACCACGGAAGCACTCTGCCAGTCTTCTGGGGAAGGGCTGAGTATTTGTTAGAAGCACCTAGCGCTTTCCTGGGATTGTGGTTGGAGTCTAAACAGTGAGCTAGTGGGACTTCAGAAAGCAGATACTGAATGGGATGAATTTGTAAATTCAGGAGCAGAAAAACTTGGAATAAAAGCCAAGGCAGGGCAGGACAACTGTGAATAGCAGTGCCAGATCCCTTAAGACAGGTGTATACTCTTCTTGTTCAAGGATTACAACACTCAGCTTTAGTGTCTGTCCTAACAAACTCATTCTAAAATAAGTACATGGTGAACAGGAGGTTGCATTTCTCTTCACTCAAAAACCTGCTTCTTGCCCTTGCTTCCTTCTCCCCCCCAATAAGAACAGAAAAATCACTATCAGATGACACAAACATCTTTCTGAAAGGCAGGTCATCTTTTGCTGCTTGCTGCCAAGATAGGAACTTCAGCCCATTCCTACTGTTCATTACAAAATCTTTAAAGATGATTTACTAGAACACAGTTATTGAGGTTATCATAGTACTTGATAGTCTTAGGTGTTTGCACTAGATAAGATTCCACTGAGTCTTTCAGGCAGAGTCCCCAAAAATCTGATGTACCATTTTCTTTCTACTGTCACTACTATTTCTGATTGATTAACTTTTGTTACTGAATGACTATTATACTGCATAAATCAGAAGGATTAGCAGAAAGTCAAACTATACCTTCGAGCATGAATCTATTGCAATTATAAAAAAAACTCAGAAGTTACACACTATTTAGGAGCAATACATTGCCAGCTGCCATTTGGACTTCTGCAGTCTGAGCTACTTATTTCAAATTGGGAATGTATCTGGCAAAGATACAGATGCTGATTTAATGAATTATTCTAGAGATTTTAAAATAATCACTTCAAAACTTTAAGCCATGCAAAATGCATCCAAATTTGAAATTTCATTGCAACTCCAAAATTAAAATCAGATTTGTCAAACATTTTACTAACATTCTCAACAGTTCATAAAATTTAGACCAAAGAATGTACTGAAATTTGTGCATCACATTAACGACACTACTAACAGTCTTATCAGGTTTAATTCAGAAGTTACTCAGATAAACTGACTTGGAATGTGCATCTTAGTTAAGTACATGTACAAGCTGTCCTAATAAAAAAAAAAGGAATAACAATTAAGAAGCTCATCCAAAGGCCACAGGAGTTGTTAAAGAAAAAACTGACCAGTTATTTTTTTATCTAAGTTCTTATATGAACTCCAAGACTTGTCCTTATATAAGTAAGGAACTGATTTGAAATAGGAAACAAACATGAGAGAATGAGTCCCTGAAGATCTGCATGTGAGGAGAGGCTGAGGGAGCTGGGACTCTAGCTTGGAGAAGAGGAGACTGAGGGGTGACCTCATCAATGTTTACAAATATGTAAAGGGTGAGTGTCAGGATGATGGAGCTAGGTTTTTTTCAGTGATGTCCAGTGATAGGACAAGGGGCAATGGATGTAAACTGGAGCATAGGAGGTTCCATGTGAACATCAGGAAAAATTTCTTTACTGTGAGAGTGACAGATCACTGGAACAGGTTGCTCAGGGGGGTTGTGGAGTCTCCTACGTTGGAGATATTCAAGGCCCGCCTGGACAAGTTCCTGTGTGATGTACTCTAAGTTACCCTGCTCTTGCAGGAGGGTTGGACTAGATGATCTTTTGAGGTCCCTTCCAACCCTTAGGATTCTGTGATGTGGTAATTCATATTGTATAGATCCATGTCTTTATTAAAGGTTATGGGGTTTCATATGCTGTTCTATGTCTTTCATCAATACTGCCAGCTAAATTTTCAAAGTTCAAAGTAAAGCACCAAATGCTTATGGTAAAAACGTACCTAACTCCCTTTAATATCAAAAACTGCAGTAGATTTCTAGCAGTCCCACTTCCTGACAGGGTTGGAATGAAAGGCTCTTTTGCTATTTAATTATTGCGGTTCCTTCCCCCCTACCACCCTCCTTCAAATGTGTGTAAAAAATTAAAGGGAGGAGATGGGAATTATTTTTTTTTTATAATTCTTAAATTGCAGTCCTGACATCTGAGGAAGGACTCTTGCCACAAGAGGTAGTAATTTAATCTTGTCGCTACATGCCAGTTCTGTGTTCAGCTAAGTTTTGTGCTTTCAGAAACACCTCTTCTTGTCCCTTAGCAGGCAAGGCCCTCAGATATATGTTCCCTGAATAAAACAGCACAATGCAGATGGGAAGCGCATTTGAAAGCCCCCTATAATCATGGCTCTCCTGTAGACTTGCTTATTAATACTGCTTTGATAAAGACAAAAATTGCCCTAAAAGATTCAGCAAAAGATAAAATTAATCTTTTAAATATTTTCCTCATTGTTGCATGTTTTATTTCTATTTGGACATATGTGTCCTGATTTTACTTTCATTGATGCTGCTCCTTTGGCTCCTTACATTCTTGTTGTTTGTAAGAAAAATATATGGTGGAAATTACAATAAATTAATTTTACAAATGTAATGCACAGAGGGGAGGCATACAAAGCTGTCTTTTCTCATGTATCGTTGTTTATGGCATCTGAATTTAAGAGTTCATTACTGGATGACTTATCTCAAAAAGTAAAGTATGTCATTCACATAATTTTTCCTTATCTGTTGAAAATTTAGTGAGTTTTCCTAATCTATCATGCAATATTTTATAAACCTAAAAGAGAGGAGAAAGGATAATTTACCCATGTATTTCAGTAACAGCTTTTCATGGCTTCCCAATGGAGGAAGTGGCCCCAAACCAGATCATCCTAGTATTATCTGAATAGAAGTAACTATATCTCTTGATCAACAGCTCTACCAGACACAGGGTACAGATTCCTGCATGCATCATTCCTTATGCCTGTGCTTTAAATATCAGAGGTTCTTATCTGGTTTAGGTAGGTCTGCAGGGAACTGACCCCTCAGCAACAGCACTCTTGAGATTTACTTTATAAGCCTCAGCAAGGCAAATAGTCTGCAATCCAAACAAACCCTAACCACAGGAAAAAAAGAAGAAAAAAGCAACGTAAATCTCAGAGAGATTAAATCTGTTTCTGAATTGGTTCATCAGACCAAAAGTCTTTTTCCCCATCTACCAGTTTTACATCACCATGTTGTAAACCCAGTCAGTGCTCACAGACAGGATAAGACACATCAGCCTCCCCGCAAAATGCTGGACTTGGTACTATGGCAGAGGCAAACCAGGAAGCCTGTAAAGTGACCATTGCTATTACCATTTCTCTTCCCACCCCTGCACTTCCCATGCCCTTTTTCTCTTCACATTGATCAAGTGACCATCTTCTGTTATAGCTTGCTGGTGCAGAACAATTTTGGCTACAGCAAACAACCTTAGTTTGCCTTTGCAGACTTCATTCCACCCAACTACAGCCATCACATAATTAAGTCCTAGTCTAAGCTACTCATCCAGTTCTTTTTATAGTCTAAGAGAGAGGTAAACCTCAATTAACGTGGGCGATTCACACTATCTTACACAGCCCACTTACAATGGGATAGACTCCCCCTGGAGACATTTCTTTCTCCCCAAACAGTAACACTTCTAGACTTCCAACATGGTAATTAGGGCCATAAAAACACTTGAGAGAGAACAAGACACATGCTACAGGCTGTAGTGCAATAAGCAAATCAGGAAGGGAATGAAAATCAAATACTTTTAACTTACACGTAACTACGCAAAGCAATTTTGTAAAAAAAAATCACTACAAATGGCCCATTCTGATTATGCACTTGCAGGTGCCCTCAGCATTTAGTTGAAAAAATTTATCTGAATTACCAATTATAATCTACTTTATAATCCTGCTTCACTTTCTCACGCTTGCACATCACCTCCAAATGTAGCTTTCTGAATGCAAGTAAGCCCAGGTTAGTGAGGTAGGAGTAGCTTTGGCATAAGCCCTTTTCCTTCCGGACTCTTGGCAGCACATTAGTGGCCTAAGACTTTGTAAAGCAACTCTAAGTGGGGTTATGTGGTCTTGGTAGAGTCAAATTCATGAAGTGCATACTAGACAAAGCAAACCTTTCCCCAGCAATATCCCACCACTTGCACTACTCCCTAAGCACTTCTGCTCCCAAACACACATTGCACAGACCATGGGCAGCTCTTTGATGTTCCTCTCACTTCCTCCCCAGCTGTGCACACTGGGTGTATATCATGGCAAGATATACCCACACACCCAAGGTGCTGGAATTAGTGCAAGATACATCCACCTGGGCTCACTTCCAGTTTTATCCTCCAAAATGTGGAGTCAAGGAAATGACAATGCATTTAAGCATCTCTTATATTCTCAGTTTGCAAACATCAAACCGTATTTAGTCATCTGGCAGAACATGTAAACTTTTTCACACATTAATAATTTCAGTCCTGGTATTGCCACAGAGCATACCTGAAAGGTGTGATGCTCTGGTATTACCTCCTGTTCTGTCAGCAAATTTCAGATTATTATGTAGTTACTTGTAATTTCAGTTTTCAAAATTTCCTATCAGGACTTTAACAAAAAACATTAACATGATAGAAGACCATACACTCTGCATTAAGTTTCTTACCAATTTTAAAATGTGAAATTTAAAATGGAAGACTTTATGTCATGATAAATTCAATCCAAAACTCTCTTGTTGAAAATGTGTGAATACATTGGCCATACAAAAGAATTCTCCTGCTCTTGCATACATTGAGATTTTAAAGCCCTCTTGTTCCCCTTTTAGCTAGTGATTTGTTTCAGAGGAAAACCGACCTTTAACCTGCCAGAAGACTGTGAAGCTTGATTCTCCTTTCAGTTCTTTAAAGATGTTCTCATATTGACTTTATTTCATAAAGTTTATCTTCATTCTCCTTTTTTCATTTTAAGATAGATCTTGAAGAGGAAGGTGTAGGTAAGGAAAAGTTGCAGTCATTGTGATCTGTAGGTATTAAGATATCAAAATTCATCTCTTTAGCAATAAGACTGAGAAGTTAGTGTATCTTTTGTCTGTCAGACACACACCCCCCCAAAAAAAACAAAACAAAACAACTAATACTAGAGATATTAAAAAAAACAACAAACAAACCAAAAAAAAAACCTCACAACAGACTGATCTCAAACATGAAGACCTAATAACTATCAAGTTACAAAAATATATATTTTTAAAAAAGGCTTAATTTCCAGTGTTAAGCTCAAGTATTTTTTCTACCAAAAATGCATGCGCAGTACCACTTACAACTAAGGGGAGAAGTGCAAACAACTTTGTAATATTGCAAAACACATACATTTTTCCTCTGGTTCACCCTCTGCAAGGCAGTCTAACGCCTGGATGTGATCAAAACCCAGTATAGTTGCATTATCTATTTCTGTGCATTATTCATTTCTGTGTACAAAATCATGGGGCTGGACTAACATCAGTGTACCAGAAACAGTTAACCTACAGAAGTCTCACTGACTCTGTTTTCTCTTTTCCTGGGAGCACCTCTGTGTATTGCAGCATGCCACAAGCTGTGCCACCCTTGCATTCACTCCCTGCTTCCCCAGTGAATGGGATTTTGAATAAGACCAAGGGCTTTGGCACTTCTCTAATTAAATCTTGGGTTGGTTCCCCATTCCCCCATCCAGGTACAATTAAATATTGCACCTTTTCTGATGTTATGTTATGAAGTCTTCTGTAGAAATACCCATGAAGTGGAGATAAGCTCATTGCTGAAACCCTTGGATCTCATCTGTTTACTTTTTTCTGCTTCCAGCTTTTTTCACAGTGATAATATCCCTCTTTCTGACAACACTTTGATTTGTACTCTGCACTAAAGCAAAAGCATTAGCTTTCAGGCAGAATAGTCTATTCATCTTCTGCTGCACCAATGTCTCTTGCTCCTCTGAAGAATTCCTCCAAGCTAATGGGGCTCCCATCATCTCTTCTGTCCAAACTGTTGTCTTTGTATTTTCACTAATACCCATTATCATATTGGCAGAATAGCAGGGGCCTTTCTTAATCCATTTACCTTTGGAATTATCTTCTAGGTTTTGACAACTTTTGAGCTTTACCTACCATCCTACCTAATGGCTCTTCCTGGGGTATTTTGGATTTGGTGCCACTTTCACAAATTCAAACCACTACTCACCATCAGCTTCATTGCTGAGTACCTATATCTTGGTAGACTCTCATTGGTCTGCTGAGGGTTAACTTTTTGATCCCCCATAGTCCATCTCACAGCCTTTTATCAAATACTCAGTTCTCCTTATATTGCAAGACTGTGTTTCCAGTCTTACATGAGTTGCAAAGGCTGCCAATTTTCCCCTTTCTTTTCATACTTATCACATTGTCATGGTTTAAACCCAGTCAGGCACCTCGTTCACTCACTCCCCCCCTTCTTTCCCTTCCCCTACTACCAGAGGGACGGAAAGGAGAATCGAAAAGAATGCAACTGCCACGGGTTGAGATAAGAACAGTTTAGTAACTAAGGTGTAACACAGATCACTACTGCTACCACCAGTAATAATAACGATAAAGGGAATAACAAGGGAAGAGAATACAACACCTCAGCACCAACCAACCGATAACTCACCCCACCCCACCAGACCAAGCACCTACCGATACCTCCTCCAGCCCCGCAGTCTTAGCCCTTCCAGGTAACTCTCAGTTACCTCCTGGGCATGACGTGCTGTGGTATGGAATACCCCTTTGGCTAGTTTGGGTCAGGTGTCCTGTCTCTGCTTCCTCCCAGCTTCCCCTCCTCCCTAGCAGAGCATGAGGCTCACAAAGTCCTTGGCCAAACCAAAACATCATTGTTATCAGCTCTGTTCCCAGGCCAAAAGTCAAAACACAGCACTGCACTAGCTACCAAGAAGGAGAAACATGACTGCTACTGCTGAACCAAGACATGCATAGAAGCATTTCTCTATTTTTCAATTCTTATTTAGACTGTAGCTCCCCTCAAACGTCTGTACAGTACTTTCATAATTATTGTCTCTGAGTTAACAGAAAACAGTAAAAAAAATATCAGCAACTGTAAGATGCGAGATTACTTCCAATCATCTCCCTTCCTGCTAGCACACAGCACTTACAGACAGAAGATGAAGCACAGTTTCTAGAGGGATTCAGAACTGGTGGTGCTTTTAACTGCCCTGTTTTTCCAGCTTCCAGAATGTTTTATTCTTTGCTCTGAATTGAAGACAGACAGACTATCAGGTATAGTTTTTTTCATTCAGCAACTATTTGATCAGCATTGCTTAGGGGCTGCCTTACAGCAACTTCCACCTGGAAGAGTCCTTTGCAAGTCCACCTCCACCTGACTGCTTAGGGGCTGCCTCACAGCAACTTCCACCTGCAAGGGTCTTTTGCAAGTCCAGCTCCACCAGTAACAATTCACCCATTGGCATCCCCCCAGAAATGTGTTTTGATAGTTTGGCTACCATTAAGATGCTTATAATAAAGGCTTAATGACAGTTTGTGAATTTTACAATGGTTTTAGAATACTAGAGATAAAAGAGATTGTAATGATTTTTATGCCAATATCATTGTACGTCATATTTAGCTGAAGCTGACAGCAAGGGGCATTTGCCCCATTTTAGCCATGACAATAGTTACAAGGTTCAAACCAAAACTGAAACGAGCAAAAAATAAATTTTAAGCCTGTCTTTCCTGGGTCAGCAGTAGCAGTCATTTTTTTTCCTCCTTAGTAGCTGTTGCAGTGTTGTGTTTTAACTTTGGGCCTGGGAACAGTGCTGATAATACCGATGGTTTTAACTGCTGCTCAGTAATGTTTACTCTGACCAAGGACTTTCTGAGTCTCACGCTCTGCCAGGGAGGAGGGTCACAAGAAGCCAGGAGGAAGCAGAGCCAGGACACCTGACCCAGACTAGCCAAAGAGGTATTCCATACCACAGCACACCATGCCCACTGTGTAACTGAGAGTTACCCAGAAGGGCTGGTTCACTGCTTGATTGGGCTGGGTATCGGCGGGTGGTATTGTATTCTCTTCCCTTGTTATTTCCCTTACCATTATTATTATTAGTGGTAGCAGCAGTGATTTGCGTTATACCTTAGTTACTGGACTGTTCTTATCTCAACCCGTGGGAGTTACATTCTTTCATTTCTCTTCCCCAGCCCTTCAGGAGCAGGGGGAAGAAAGGGTGGGGTGGGGGGAGTGGAATGCATGGCTGACTTGCCGACAGGGTTTAAACCACAACACTGTCTCACACGATTCATCTCGGATGGCAACTGTTTCGTAAGACAGAGGGAAGGAATACTGCACAGCTTTCAGGTCTAGCTGCCCCTGCATCTGTCTGAGGTTCGGTCCTGTGAGCTGAGAATAAAAAGTTTTGAGGCCTGTCTAAAACCCAAGACATGCATAAATGGCATGACGTGGATGAAACATGTTGCAGACACCACAGTCACACCATGCCAGTGTTGACCCTTCTCCAGGTAGCTTTGATGAAGACGTCAGAGTCTAGCTGCAAAAGCTGCAAAGCCCTCACCCGGGAGCAAGTGACACTTTCCTAGTAACATTGGCATTTTGTGTCTGCTGGCAACTGCGCAGTTTTACAGTGCAGCTGCGTGGGCTGCAGCTGCTCAGAAGATAAAAAAAAAGACACCCTTCAGACCCTGGTACCTTTCCTACAAGCCCTTACAATTCAAGACAAAATACACTAAAACAGAATGTAAATCAAAATGCATTACTGGAAGAGTTACACTGAGATGCTGACCTATATGTACTTAGCATTTTGTGATTGTAATAGTCATGAATAAGACCTGATGAACAGGACTATACCCTTTATTACAAGTAGAAGCAGCATACATTACTGAAAATATATGGCTGATGATTCCTGTGCACAAAGCCCAGGAAATTCTGAACTATGATTTCTAGAACAAACCTATTTCATCCCTCTTGCATTCTGAATTGCTGAATTACACGGTATTCACTCTTACGCTTTAATATTTCTGCAATGTTGCTGTTACAGTAATGCGGAACATTTTATCTGCCTTCAGACAGATCTTGGTCTCAGATAGACAAGCATAAATCTGAACTAATGCAATTATTCTTGTGTTTTCTCAGGAGTTATACTAATTTAGCTAACAATTGTCTTCAGACAATTGAACTAAATTGCTTTACAAGGCAATATTTTAATGTGAATATTCTTTAAATTAACATAAACGTGTCTTTCAGTTATATTTTACATAAGATCCATTTCAAACACATGATTTCAATTACCTTGTTTTATACATACTGAACATTCAAGTAGGCTTTTATCAGTGCCAGAAACCCAGTGGCAAGTTGCTACTGGCAAAACTCATAGCAAGACTGAACTCTAAATGTGCATATTTTCATTTGTAAATGATGAAAATGTAATTACTAAAATTTCACAGACTTGAACAAAATTATGTTCTGTACAGGAGACTTTTTTTTTAATGCACATTTGTTTCTGCCTGCAACCTGCATGCCAATTCTTGCCAATTTCAAAATTAGCATTGGTTGCTGATTGGTTCCAATGGGAACAAAATTCACCCTATGTTCCCTGTTGGTAGAAGAGAGTTGAAAGAAATGCAGCATTTATATCTTGATATAACTTTGTTACCTAAAAAAAAAAAAAAAAAAAGGAAAAAAAACACTTTTCAAACACACCAAAGTGCGTCAGTTCTCACTGAAAACCTAACCTGTGTTTGAAGTTCACTGACCAAGAAAGACATTTTTCAAATCTCCAGTCACACACTGGGACCAGCTAAAAAAATAAAACAGAAATGCTGCATCTTAGCTCATTATGCAGCTTAATCCCATCCTCCTACACACTAAGTATGACAAATAAACATTCATTTAGTTTAAATCCACCATACAGTGGCAAAAATGTTCTTTGGATCACTAATGTGCTTAAAGAACATCTTCACTTGAAGCTTATGTGTGAGTGGGGCAGGGCTATCTGTAGCACAAAAAATCAACCACCTCTAGCATCACAAAGCATATATGGTATGCTTTTATCCCTCAGCATAATCTTCCACAGAGGGACCCCAAGAGTGCTTATGGAGGGGAAGAGCTTGGTGGCAAAATAAGATTTCTCTGTCTCCTCAAGTAAGGTTTTCCTCCCACCGTTCTCCAAAGGTACAATTCAGAGACTATCACAGTTCACAGGAGATGCTCCACTAATTTCATGAGGTTTAGACCCTAGTCATATCACACCCACCCACATCGATGATTTAATCATTCAGTTATCTCCTTTTATACATATTTGGGAATTGCAATAACATATTAAGTAACTCTAGAAGCAACAGAGACAAACTGAGAGACTGAAATACGAAAAGGCAGTGGTACGTTTCCATCCTTTCATCAGTGAGCACTGAGACATGAGTAAAAGCTGCCACACCTCCCAGGAGAGGAGAGCATTCAGCCTTCAGCTCCAGCCAATAAACATTCAACCACAGCATTTGTCCTGTGATTACAAATCAAATCTGTTTCCATCTGGCTGTCAAAGCTGAAGCAGCACTCAGTCAAAATACCACTGACTATTTTTCCATACATTGTTCTTTAAACATGACCTATGCTTTCCTTTTATATAACAACAGAGTGGCCACTAAAGCAGGGGAACATGGAGTGTTCCATGTTATATAATTAAAGAAGAGCTGGCATTATATCTTCAAACAAAGCAGTACAAATATTTGACTGGTTTAGTGTCTTATAAAAAGTTGGTGAAAAAAGGCTGATTGTTTCACAGCATGCAAACAATGACCTTGAATAGCAAATATATTTACATATGAATTACCAGAAAAATCAATAACCGTTTTTTCTGAAGGTGAAACTCTTTCCTAATGCCCATATTCAATAGTCAATTTTCCCTTCTACACAAACGTCCTGTTACTGAGAAGGAAGCAAGAAGAAATGATCTACAAACACAAGATCAAATCATTCATCCATCCAGCCTGTAACCATGGCACAGTCCCATGAGTTAATCTCTGAATGGGAAACACATGCTTATACTTGCTCCTGGTGAACCTGGTCAATTTTGCAGCACTAAAAATACCTCTGGACTGCAGCACTACAGAAAGTGATTCTCTGACCACTCAGATTATTCCCATCTTTCCTCCTGAGCTGTATATGCACAAAAAAAATTACCTGATGTAAACCAAATTGAGTGATGTTTTCTACTGGCCAAGGATCTCCTTCTGCATTTTGTGCAATATCTGTTATATGAAGTTTATTTTTCATGTAACTGCTGCAAAATATTATTCCAATGCCTAATATTGCTTTTTTGTTCAAGCAAACATCATGCTGGTGTGAAGGGTTTTATTTTATTCATGTTTGCATAAGAACAAAGGTCTTTTTTTATTTACTCTGTAAAGCAATGAACAGTGAACATTAAAATACTACAGGGGTTTTGATATTTCAAATCCCAAACAGTTCCAGTTAAATGGCTGTGTATTTTTCATCTGTATAATGAATGTTTCTAAATATACTCAGAGAAAAGGAAAACTATTTACCTTTTTAATATTTAATATTTTGCAGCCATATATGTGGAAATAATTTACTACAGGTATATTTCTGGTCAAAGAAAACAACTCCATTACAAGGCAGAAACGCAGCTTTGATTGCAAAACCTCCAATCACCCCTGTTTTGCATCCTGAACGTCAAACAAAAAAGTTCACCCTGGAAACTTGAGATGAACTGTACATAAACCAGCAAGTAAACAAATGCAAAATATTATTTAAAACCTTACATAATGGCTCATGCCCCCATCTATTTATTTGCTGAAATACTCCAAAATTATATCATCTGGAACTTCTGCCTTCATCTCAAGTGTTATTCAAAGGCTGATCATTTCAAAATGCCAATGACTGTGATTTTTCACATCTCCCTTAAAAGCCAATCACCTATTTCTTTGATGTAGCCAACACATACAGCACTTAGTGCTATTTCCTATACTCTAAGCTAGCATTGGCAGAGCCTGGCAAACAAGATGCAGAAACTGTTCCTGCGGGGGGGGCCTACAGGAGCCCCTCAGGAGACTGATGTCTGCAGGTAGCAGCAGGAGGAAGACAGGCATGGCAACCCTCAGCCTATCACCAGAGTGCCTATTTAGGCAACTGAAACATGTTCTTCACATCACAAATGTCTAAAGCAAGAAAATTAATGTTTGAACTATATTATGTCAATTATATAATACATTATTATATTCTCATGTAGGTAAATTTTAGAGAAATTCAACCATCTTCCGTCTAATATTAAAAGTGAACCCAGATTATTTGATGTTTTTTCCATACCGAAAGTTACTATTGAATGCATGGCAAAAGCCAATATCACTACAGAGATAATCCATGTACTGTAAAGGGTTGACTCCCCACCTCTTTATTCTGTATATTACCTGGAAAAAACTCTTCTCACAAACCTCAAAGAATCTTTATCTAATCCTTTGTTTTTCTTTTTGCTTAATTTTTTTCGATTGCTTTCTTAGAAACATAGTAAATAACACATGATTTCCCACAGGGAATTAAATCCTAGAACTCTATGGCTCAAGTTAAGACCTTGTAGTTTATCATTTGAGCAATAGATATAAATCTTCAAACCTACACACAAAGCAGTAATTATGTGAAGCTTTTTATGTGCCTTCTAAATGTAAAGGAGAAAGTACAAACCTATTACAAATTAAGCCTGTGAAAGTGGGCATCTTTATGTTGATATCATTTATTTAAGCCACTGCCCTTGTACAGTTCTAATCAGCATGTGCCCACCTCACAGTGTGTATTAGAAAGGACAAACACTTCCCTGAAGAGAATGGTCAGGACCACCCGCCAATCTTTGTGACCAACAAAGCACAAGAGGTAGCTGCATGCGCTGCTCAGCCATGGCAAGCCCCAAGTCCTCATGCATTTCCCCTCCACATCTTGCAGGCACTGCCGAAGTCTCTACACAGCCAGTGTACATGGTCATCTACCACCAAGCAACTCTCCCCACCTACACAGTACAAGAGCATTCCTCTTGAAGAAGGGACCTCATTCTGAGACTCCTTCTTCCCTGGGCTCTGGGGTTATTTTCTTTATTTTGCAATGTTTTCTTTTTTTCTAAGATTCTGCACACTTAAACATGCACAGCCCATTACACTCAATTTATCTATTCCTGCATTACAAATTTTTAAATGGGCCCTGTTCATCCTTTCAGTTTCTTTAATAAATCATTTTGGCTGCATGCAGATGCCTGCTAAAATAAGGAAGATTCATGAGACTGAGTTACAAGCATTTATTAATTAAAGGGATCAAGGTGTCACAAGCACAAAACATCTATAGCAAATAGAGAGCTGGCAAACTGTCACTGTAGAGCACCACTACAGCAATGCAATAGACAGAAGAAAAGAAGCATACGTAACATTCCTGCTCTACAAGCCTCCATTATAGAATTAAATTTCAAGTCTTTGCCCTTGAGGATCTGGGAAATGCTGCCAGATGGGGGAACACAAACTGCACATTATTTCTTTTTCCCCCTGAGCCAGTCCAGCTACATCCATACTACTTTCAGATTATTTGTACTGGACCTCGAACACAGCACTACCTTGGAAATATTGGACTACCACAGAACATATTCCCATAGAGAAATATTCCCCATGTGCCTTGCAGGAAGCAACACAGACGTGCATCTCTGCCGACATTGTGGTAATTCTACCATCTTGTACAAGTACCATCTTGTCATCAGCCTGGATGCCAGTCCTGTTATGCAAGTAGTAAGCACATTAATTTAACCAAGTCCTAGGCCTCTGATGCGAGTGCACTATTTCATGATTTGTGTGGGTGAAAGAAAAAGTGAGTTTCCACCATAACACCAAGCATTAATAACTCATAAATAAGCTGTCATGTTAAGAGGAGAAACAGCTTGTTGGGTGGATACATTTCATCTCCCCTGTAAGGAATGGACAAAATAGAAGGGCACACTGTCTTCACTACCTGTGCTAGCAGACTGAATCTGTCTCCAAGCAGACAGGGAAGATTTCCCAAGGCACACCAAATTCACAGAGGACAGCCCCTCTGTGACCTGCTAATATCCATGGATTCACTGCTAGGCACAGACACAGCTAAAACAGTCACTGGTGAACACTGTCCTGCATGCACAAAAGCCAAGAAACACCCCCACTCCCCCACCAATGCAGACCTGCTCCTAAAGGTGAAATATTCCCCAAGCTCCTTTCCACCCCCAGAGCCATCAGTCTGTTTGGGAATTTCTTTTAAGAAGTGGTGACAAGAAATGTATTCTCATCTAAACCTTTTACTCTCATATAATCAATAGAGCTTCAATCCTATTTGCTTTTGTGTTTTACGTTTATGTCTGCTTAATTCACTCTGCTTCTCTAGCACACAGAAGCCAGTTAGACATGGAAATGCATTTAATGAAGCAATTCTCCAGTATCTGCCTCTTCTTTCCTACCAGCTTTGCTGCATCCAGAAAACACCATGTAGCAGATGTCATCGCTGGGGACTTTAAATAGTCAATATAGCTGAATTTACACTATCGCACTTCCTGCTACAACCTCTGATGCTTCTTCTAAACCTTTTTGCCCTGGATGACACACTACTGACATAGGTGCAAGGTGGGACACAGCCACCTAAGTGGAGATGATCAGCAGCTCAAAGGCGGCATTTTGTTTGCTCCATTTCAGCCCTCCGCCACACCTTGTTTGGACTGGCTCATTAAAAAACCATAAAGGTTGCTCAGTCATGCTCAGACTACAAATTTCCACAGTCATATTGTTTCTAAATATTTAAATAACAGTCTTGCAGTGACAGCTGCATGGTTTCTGAGGTGCTTATCTCCACAATAATGGACTGCTGCCAAGCAGCCAATTTCTGAATCTGAATTTTAGCTACAGAACTACCTACAGGACAAGGAATGTCTGAACAGGTGGTTACATCATGCACGTTAATGAAATGGAGGTTCCATTCCAGCACAGTCA